GGAACAGCAGCCGCTTTGGACTATGGCGTTTTTCGTAGAAAGGAAATCACTGAGAAACCACAGAGCCTTATGATCTATGATATGGGAGCCTCTAAAACGGTCGCGACCCTTGTGGAATATAAAGTGGCTAAGGGACGGCACGGAAAAGAGCCGAAGGTAGTTACACTGAACTTCACTATCACTGCTGTATATGGGGTTTTTAAATTTTCTTAAAGAAATCAAAACTTTTCAGGTGACTGTTCTTGGGGTCGGGTTCGATCGCACTCTAGGAGGGCTAGAGATGACATTGCGATTGCGAAAGCTGTTGGTAGAGAAGTTCAGTGCACATTATAAGACCAAAGAGGATATTAGGACTAGCGAGAGGGCCATGGCGAAATTATTTAAAGAAGCAGAAAGATTGAAACAGGTGAGAATTTTTATGTAATGGAATTCCCTACTTTCCCGGACTTCTGTATTTTACCTATTAGGTGCTCAGTGCCAATATGGACCATTATGCACAAATTGAAAGCGTACATGAAGATATCGATATGAAAATTCATGTAACCAGAGAAGAGTTCAATAGTTTGATAGACAACCTGATGCCGAGGGTGACCGCTCCCGTAGAACAAGCTTTAAAAATGGCTGATTTGAGCATGGACCAGGTGATTTTATAGTTCCTCCATTGAAACCTCGATATTTTAAGAAAATTTCAATAATTTTTACGGATATCCACATATATATAGGTAGACCAGATCGTTTTAATGGGTGCTGGAACGCGTGTACCCAGAGTACAAGAAGAATTACAGAAGTTTATTGGAAGGTTGGTTTTTGCTTTTTCCATCCATTCAGTCAATATCCATCGAAAAGCCTCAATGAGGTGTTTCAGCAAGGAGCTCGGTCGATTCCTGAATACTGATGAAGCGATAGCTATGGGAGCATTATTCCAGGCTGCTCATTTAAGTAAAGGTTTCAAGGTTAAACCATTTGGCGTTGAAGAGCTGGTGATATTCCCCGTGCAGGTTGGTTCTATCACTCTTTGTTGCTTTCTTTGTTGTCTATATAAAGCCTATTTTTTGTCTCAAAAAGATCGCTTTGAGGTGAACTTCATCAGTAAACAAAAACAAGAGAATGGAGAAGTAATTGAAAAGCCCATCACGAGGCAGGTATTCCAGTACAAGGGCGTATACCCTACAACTAAAAAGGTACTGTCTTATTTGTGCTCGTCCTTTTTCTTAGCAATTTATAAATGACGCAGCCATTCTTCTTTTTGGAAAGAGGTGGACGCAGATGTCCACTGCTTTATTGCAGATCAATTCTTGGATGCAAAATTTCTTTAGAAAGGCATA